GCTGCATCATTTGTGCCCACATGGACGAGGACCATGGGATAGTAATCAGAGGGCCATATGAGGCTGGGAATTCTCGCAGTGATGTCCCAGATCCTGGCTCTGGGTAGGCAGCAAACCTCCCGTGCCACGCTCAGCAGTCAGCACTCATTCCCAGCTTCTCCGAGCACAGCCCCCACCAAACACACACACAAACACACACACAAACAGTCAGCTAAACCAAAGGTACAGGCAGCAACTAAGCAAATGTAGGGAGTATCATGTATCCATTAAGGCAGCTCTCTGAAAGGCTGTATAGATAGAGAACCTGCAGACTGACTGTGTTAAAACATCTTTTGAGGCTTGATTACCAGCATGCTTAAAATAGCAACAGAATGCTGGATTGCACATTTTATTTGATCTTTACAGAATATACTCCCCACATTTTAGTCCATTCTCCAGTCATTTCTTGTTAAGACAGACCGGTATTTCAAAGTGATGGAAATGTTTAAGTCATTGCTAAGCAAAAATTAGCCTCTTAAAACATTTTAAAGCTAGTGTTTGTGCACAGTTGGTTATTGAGCATCAGGTTGGGTATAACCAGTGCAAATGTGTTAGCTCTAGATATATTAATTTTACAGGAATCTAGATGTAAGTTAAATTAAATTAGGGTTATCACAAGAGACAGAGCTTTTTTAGTAGAAAAATTAACTTAAAAAAACCCACTAATTAATTTGTATTGTAGTAGTCTCCGGGGATCCTATCCCAAACCAGGGCTCTACTATGCTAGGTTCTATATAAGCCTGGCATAGATGGATAACATTTCATAACTTTAGAGAGGAAAAAAGGCATAATTTGGTTGGTTTTTAATCTGTGGCAGATCTCTGCTATCTCTCTTGACGCTCCCTCACTGACCTCAGGATTACTGTTCTTAAGACAGCAAACTTAAAAAAAACAACCTGATGAACTGGAATTTAGGGAACATGAAATCCTCTAGAATGGATTGTGGTGCGTATGGGTTAAATTGGGTCTCTGATTTCTTATCCCATTATCTGGGTTAGTTTTTCTGACTCCTTTGTTCCTATGAGTTCTTTGCTTCTCCCAGCCACTCCTCTTCCCTGTCCCTGATCCCTTTTGCCTTTTATATTCAAAACTGTCTTATACACTGCTCCCTGCATGCCAACTCACAGCATCTGATGAAGTGAGCTCTAGCCCACGAAAGCTTGTGTTATAAGTTGCAAATCTACCCTGCCTTCTACTGATGTCTAGTAAGATCGAAGCTGTTTCTAATTATAAAAAGGTTTCAGCTATTTTTATTAGGCATTGAGTTCAGCACTGAAAATGAATCAAGAGCAAACAGCTACTTTGGAACACAGAATGATTAATACTTCAGTAAGATCTAAATTGATGCTTCATTTTCAATAGTTCATTGGTAGTCAGGAGATATTTTCAGAGCTCAGAGCAAACAGATTTCTTGGGATGCAAAATGATATAAATTATTCAAAGGGAAGATTGAAATTTGATATACAAGGATAAATCTGTATGAATAAATACTAAATAGGTCCATTACATATGTCAGGCTGTGGGGCAGACGGTTCCATTCGTAATGTATAGTAAACTTAGCTGAGAACGTATGGATGTTTTGCATAGGCCAACAGTATAGGAAGGACAAAAAAAAATAAAAAAAATAAAAATAAAAAATCAGGTCTTGGTCAGGAGTAATGCAAGATTTGCTGGACCTTTGGTTCATGTAATCCAGATGTTTACATTCCATAGTTACAATAAAGAAAAGCGTATGGAAATAAATCCAGTGGTAACAAGAACATGCATAGTAAGGCATATTGATAAGCATATGCCCTATACTGCCAGTCTGGATTGAAGTTATAAACATCTGTAGCCTGTTGGAACATATTACTTAACCTCTCAGATCAGAGAGAGACATGTAAGAAAATATGGAACCTATGCTAGAGTTCTAAAATTTCATTTGCAAAAGTTATGTTCCCTATTTGGTTTCCTGTAATCTGACGGGGTTATTAGGTTTCAGCAAAGCATGAATATCATTCAATAACATGTTTTATGAAGAACTATTCTATACGTTTCAAATGGAAAAAGTCCTAATAAAGTCATGTATACTTACTGCCCAGTGACCACAAGTCAGGGAATTTAAATAAAAGGGACAGCCATACGATGTATGATAACTTTCAGGAAATGCATCTTAAGACTTCATTACAAATGAATTAACTTTTTATTTGACAGGAGTCAAGCAAAGTAAATTGTGACACTTTTTTTTTTTAAACTAAGAAGCTTATGAAACAATCAAGTTATCAGAGGCATTTGCAAACCATTTCAGTTTACAAGTTCCAGGCTGAGTAATCATCTGTGAAACCAAGCAATAAGAATAAGAACCACCATCTTTTCTATAAAGTATTTCTTTATTTAAGTTAAACAATTTTCAAGGATGGTTTCCATCTATAAAATGAACAAAGTACAAGCTCTGTACAGCAGATACTTTAAACAAACTCAAAAGACAATTTTCAAAATATGTTTTTTGGGGGGGTGGGTTAGGTGGGGGAGGGGAGGTGGAAAGAAAACCAGCAAAACAAACTTGCATGTACCATAATTTTTCCTTTTAAGACTAAGGGGAAAAGTTCTCAGAAGACTCCACTACAGTTTGCTTCAAGGGCTCTTAATTTTTTTCTTAAAAATGGGCTGAATCCTGATGCTTTAAAAAATTAAAAATCAAGTAAATGACTTTGGCACAGTGTCATGTAAACATATCTAATAAAAGGATACCACTTCAGTTCTGCTCCCAAGGAACAGCAATGTGTTTTACACTATACAGCTCCTACATTAAGGCCCACGCACACAGCATCCACAGGGGCTTAGAGATATTTTCCTGTCTTACAATAGGAAGGCTGACATTCAAAACCCAGGGGAAGAAGGGAACAAAAATTAAGACTTTTTGCTTGCAAAAAAACCCTGATTGTATAGGAGAGCTAAGAGTGAGGTCCATGCTCTTCTATGTTTTAATACTGATTTCAATTAGCAGTTGCTTGTCTGTTTAGTCACTGTAAGGACAATATGAATTTAGTGTACATTCCTTTTAAAAATTCTCTATTCAGACCAAGTAAACTTTAACCAATTTGCTGCTGAAGCCACCATCCAAGAAATCAGCATTTATTTTCAAGAGGACTAAAAACTTCCATTGTGCACTACTTTTCTGAATCATTGAATCCCATACTTGAAGACCATTCCTCAGCAAATTCAAAGCTATGTAGGGGAAGGAAGGAATTCTGGAGATCGGTTTATCATACACTGTAGAGACTAGTTTATCCACTGTAGAGACTAGTTATCTGTAAACTAGTTTATCCACTGTATACCATCTTTAAACAGGCAAATCCCATGATTTTACTGGAAGGAAGATATGCAGCAAGGTAAGGAAAAGGAAGATGTGTGTTGCATTGGCAGGAAAGTTGGATAGAGGAGAGAAGTGCTTCAGATTCAATCTCTTCCTTCACCATTGCCAATGCATCCAAAAGGAAGCCTCTGTGAATCCCATAAATGCATGCCATTTTAACTGCAGCTGGCATGTCAGACATTTCTTGGCCTGTTATTTTAACGTCTGGCACAGAAGTAAAAGCCATTTTGCATGGAAGAATTCCATTTATTGTATAAATGCAGCCAAAGGAAACTGCAGCTCTTGAAATACTCTTTCAGAAACAGAAAAAGGGGGAAAAGCCACTGTACAGTATAGTAAAGTATTTCTTCAGCTTTCTTCTTTATAAGTCAACCCGCAGTCTGTCTGAGATCCATCATATTACCAAAGTCATTATGTACTTGGCATCTTCACTAATTTGTGATACTTACTAATGCTGGCACTGATTCTGTATTTTTCCTTTTAGTTTTAAAAGCTCGTTGAAGCAACTGTTGCTTTACCAAAGTATATAGTCTATGCATACATAAGAATGAGAGAGACCAAAGTCAGTGTCGACTCAGCTTTAACAGTATTATTTCAATATAAAAAAAATGACATCAGTTGCACTGAAGCTGTAAAATGTATTTTTTCTAAGGTTAAAAATATCATTTAGGATTGGCTGATACCCAAACTAGTTCCCAGAGCTATGCCTGGATCCATTTGAAACACTGTTCTGAGAAATAATTAAAAACAAAAAAACAACCCATGCAAGTTTATAAATTAAGCAAGTGCAATTCAGAGATTTTGTAGCTGCTCATCCTTGCAAATTAATGCTATGATCTTATGCTATCTGTTGAGACTGACATTGCTGTTCCATCTTACCTTTAAAATTCAAAAGGGAGTTTAAGACAAAGAAATTAAGCTGATTAAGGCCCAACAGAAAGCTGCGCTGAACCTCCATGGCTGCACCTGTGAAAGAGCCGAACCATGTACACACTGTTTGTAATAAAAGAAAAGAGTATTTTAAAAATTAAGAGCTACAGAAATGTTCAAAACAAAATATCAAGTACGAGTTTTCTTATAACCCGAGCAATCGTGCTGAATTCTCAAACTGGAAGAGAGAATCCAAGCAAGGGCCTGTGCAGACACATTCGTTTGCCCTGCCATTTCCTCCTCTTCCTCCTCCTCCTGAGTTCCATAATCTTCAGTGAGGGTGAAGCACTATGAAATAGATCCAGTTTGCAAAACAAAAGCATCCAGTGTTTACATGGACATTATGCTCAGCAGCACAAAATCTGCATCTACACAGAGTTCTGCTCTTTCATAGCATCTCAATCCAATTTCCAATGTATGTTAACTGGCTTTGTTGATTTTTATTGAAAATCTGTGTGTGTGTATTATAGAGAGTAATACACACACACACACACACACACACACACACACACTTATATTTTGAGTCCATCATAGAAAAGTTCATATTCAAATATACCAAGTACACATGGAAAAAACCTTCAAAATGACACTTCAGTTTCTGGAAACCACAAATGATTTCTATGTAAATGGAGATTTCAAATGATCTTCTCCTAGCATTTTGCCCCACACCCTCCCCGCACCCAGCTCCCCTCCCTCCCTTTGTATTGAGATCCATTTTCTACTGTACATCAATTGTTCCTTGGGATGTTAATCATCTGCTGTGCAAGTAGTAAGCTGATGTCAGAAAGGAACTGGTAGGTCTTCACACAACAAAGGAACTGTGCTGCAGTTGTGTTCAGTGAGAATTGCAGTGGTCCAAGTCCCCTTGGTTCCCTTGTGTTTGCTTTAGTTCTCTCCTACTTTCAGACAAAGATGGAATACTGAGGTATATAAGTTCCGTGGAAAGTTTAAGAAATATATCAGTAATGTAATCAAAACTTTGCCCAACGTCTAGGAAGTGAAATGGCATTTTGCATGTGAGCCCTTCTACTGCTGCAAATTAAGTGTAAACTTCCACTGCTGTGATAGAGAAGGACTGCAAACCTCAACAGTAAGCCCACCATTTTTGGCATTTCGGCTGTCTAAACACAGGTTGCTGCCAACGTGCCTCAGCTTAGAGTTGCTTTCAATTTGCTCCCATTTCTGAAAGAGAAAATAAAGTTACTGAGCTATAAAACTGCGTAAAACAGCATTTCAGGTCCTGTCTTTTCAGTTCTCCATCCTCAAACATTCCTTAGCCTAGATTTGTCATAACTTCAAATCCTGAAACAGCTGTTTCTTCTTCAAGGCCTGTCCAAACTATCCCCAAGGAATAGCAATACCCCCAGCTGATACTCTGCATAGAGGAAGTTATACCAAACCATTGTCTCCAGCTCTCCTCTTTAATGCACACAATGCCACTGCCATACCAGACTTCGAGGTCTACAAAATCTGCACTTGGTGAACCAAAACTAACAGAAATTGTATTGGCTTTACAATAAAAAACCCAAGATGTGTTCAGCAAGACCTTTCACAAATTGCAGAAACCATGGCCACAGGTCAAAAACTATGGGATGCGTCCAAGTAATTCATTGCAGTCAGAAACAGTGCTGCAGGTACCAGGGTCATTGCCATCTGATCCAAGAGAGAAAAAAAAAATCTATCCTGACAGATTTGGAATGGGACTGAGAGAACAAAGGACTTGTGATGTTTATGGCTCTTAGCAGATTCCTGGCTGTGGCCCTGGATGTCATTTCCTTTGACTGGCTCCCATATGTGAAAAATAGGAAAGGTACCCACCCTTCCTCAGGGAGCACAGGTTACAAGGATCATGTCACATTAATATTAACTGGAATGCTTATAAAACTCTCACGCCAAGTCCCCATGTGCCAATCTGAAGAACTAATCTTAGCCAAGTTTCCTTAAATTCCAGCAACTGTGCACAGAGTCAGGCACAGGCAGCTGGTTTTCACTTCTGCATGGGAAGAGTGGGAGGGTGTAGGAGATGAGCAAGGGAAGAGAGAATTGAAGTTCTCTCCCACACTATTTGTAAAACAGATCTATAAAGTTTATTAATTAGGCTTTGCCCAGTCTTGCTAAATGGTGCATTTACTTGCATATAAGTAGGCTCCCCAATAATTAGATTCTATGTATGGCAAAGTTATGAATTTGTTCTAATTTTCCGGATATAGAATCTAATTATTGGAGGTCTGCCTTGAATTCGTCCAAGTGTGTTCAGTGTTTACTACTTTTAAACAATTTCATAGCTGGTTTCTAGTACTGGACACATGTTGCTTTTGGCAGCAGTTAATGATAAACAATATATTTAATGAGGTTTCCTTGTATGCAAACACAGGACAAAGGAACTTTTCCCCACCTATGCTAATTGGGGAAAAACCAGCAAACTTTCTCTTATATTTGAGTAAATACGGTAGTAGTTCACAAAATAACCTTCCAGTTATGAATTATTTACTAAGTGACTTCTTTCGCAGAGTTCCTGCAATGTTAGCACAAAAGCAAAATTGATGGGGGAGAAAAATAACTATGACTTTACAGAACTAGCCTGTTACACAGCTGGATTAAAGGGATTTGTTGCTAGAGGTAACTCTGCAAGTATTAATTGACTTGAGCATGACAAATGGAGGATTAAATAGGTGTTGCATTAATAATACAGTTTGCTTAGTGAGTTGCTGTTAGGGACTGCAACCCTTGCTCATTCCCTTGCACTTTGCCTTCTCCCTGTTTTCAAAAAGGCGCTCTCTCATCTTTTTTCCTTAAATGGTATGTTAGATACTTCTACTGCTGATAATGCACATCAGTTCTTGGTTGTTCAGGAGAGGAAGTCAAGTTCTGTTCTCCTTGGGCTTTGACTATCGTATGTCCAGGCTTCACTAAGGAGATGACTCAGAAATATTTTATGCATCTGTCTCTGGAAACAGGTTTGGCAGTTTAGTTTCATACATTATACACCATGGCTCCTGGCTTGACCTATATTTCAGGAAAGTTTAACAAGGAGAGTTTTGCATGGTAAAATACCCTAGATTGGTGGTTCTCAACCTTTTCAGACTCAAGGCACCCCTGAATTGACTCTTCAGAAAATGCTAGTTCTTAGCTTTCACTTTATTATTTTTTTAAATACAGAAAAATAATTCTTCTGTTGCAAAAAACTCAGAAAGACCACAGAAGAACAGAATATTTTTTAACACTATGAATTCCTATTTTAAATTGCTAGGTTTATTTTGTGAATCATGTTTGCACACCAAACAGGGCTAACACTGTGTGGCACCATGTGGCACCACTGAAAGGATCGCAAGGCACCTCAACAACACCCTGGTTGAGAATCACTGCCCTGGATACAGGCTTACAAATGCACTCCCATCCCTATGGGCCTCTTCTTCCTGATTCACTGTTCACTTGTAAAATGCTAACATATGAGCAGGATCACATGTTCACAATAATTTGTTGCATCTTTCTTTACTTTGTTACATGTAACAGCTTCAGATATGAACATAAAAATGCGTGCCTTTGAATGAAAATCAAAACCAAGTCCCAGCTAGGTTGTATGAGGTGCTGTAAGCAGTTAATTTGCGGGCAAACAGAAACCAGCTTATACCTATACCAAACCAGTTTAAAGAGGAGACCCACTATAATCAAGTCATGCTAAAGTTTGTTCCAGATAGACAAATATATGGAATTTTATTTGGATTGTGGATATGGGATAAGAAGGTCATAAACAGAGTTAAAAGTGCAAAAGATACCTCAGGTCATTTGGGAAATATTCTTGTAGTTACTGGGTGGGGAAAGGACTACTGAGTATGAGTATCACTGCAAACCTGCTACCTACATTCTATGCTACCTGAAGACAATGGATAGTCAGAAATCATTGTGTAACCACTAGTGGAGAAAAGAGAACTGAGGATATAAGGTAGCAACCCCAAAGGTTTAGCAGAATTGAAGCAAATTATTTGGTCCTAAATCTGGGCCTGCTAGACTTTCAGGCTATAATTTGCAGGAAGACAGAAACACCGCTACAACCCCCCCCCCCCCCGGAAAAAAAAAAGGAAAAAAAAAACCCCCCAAAAAAAAAAAAAAAAAAAATGACCTACACAATCCGCATGCCTCTATATAAACATGTCAAGACTTATCTTTAGCTTCCCTTAGCAAAAACCTCAAGACTTTTTTTTTTTTTTTTTTTTTTGTTATGATCCTATTGCTTAGCATCTTGTTTTACCTAGTTTGTCATAGCTGTTTTATTGTTAAGGGCATATTACTAGTACAGATTATGGGTTAAATGGGCTCCTGCCTATGGACTGCTGCCTGTGGGTGTCAGGCTGGCCATGCATGCAGCATGCACCAGCTCTGACCCACAATGCACAGGCCAGTCCATGGCATGCGCAGTACTGGTCTAGGGTGCATGCTGCACACATTACTGACGCCATGCCCTCACCAAATCAGTCCATGCTGGACCCAGGGCCAGTCTGGGGGACATGCTGCACATGGCTACCTTAGGCTGCATGCGGTGCATGGGGCTGGAGCTAAGAGGCACACAAGACTGGTCCAGGACGCATGCTGTACATGACACCTGCACCTGACTGGTCCTGCACACTGGCTCTGGTGTGCAGAGCTGGTCTGTGGGCCTGATACAGTCCACAGACCAACCTCCTGGGTCCAAATGAGCTGATGCCCCAGTGAAAAACAAAACATGAAGAGATCTGGGACACGGATTCCTTTTAGTAGGCTTCAAAGATTAATTGATGACATTTCCCTTCTAGTGTTCGACCTCCTTACAGTTTAATGGAAAAAGGAAAGACCCCTTTACCCTGATACTCTCTTCCTCATCTGGTACTCATGAGACATCTACTTTCTAAATTTTATCCTTCCCGTCTTAAATTAAATTACATGGTGACCCTCCGCAACCAGTACAAGGGGTGATCAACACAGGACAGGCATTACTTCATTTCTGATGCTGTCCCCAAGTAGTTCTGAAGGCACAGGAAGCCGACTGCAGACTTTTTTTTTTTTTTTTTTTTAAAGTGCTGTACATACATAGACACATAAGCACACATACAGTAAATACAAACACCCCCTCCACCCACCAGCACATGGCGCAAGAACATGGCAAGCACACAGACACACACCTTTATGCACACTGCTGTTATTCCAGTAAAACTGTCTGCAGTGTACTGCATTATGTACTCACCTGTCGACTGTCATTTTCCCTGCAACCCTGTAGTTTTATTAGTGAACCAGGGGCTCTGTCCACAACAGTAAGGCACAAATCCATGTGTTTCACTGACTTGTCCTTTGTTAAGGCCCATTCCTAAGACATGAAAAGGAAATGCATGTCTGTATATGAAACTGTATGAATAAGACAATAAAAGTTTGTGTGTGTGTGCGACACAGAGTTAGACTCACTCAAAAAGACCCAGTAGAGAAGTTCCTTTCACTTAAGCATAAGCTGGAGTTTTTACAGCATCAGTGTTTAAACAGGGTGTTCCCTTCATACAATTTAAAATACAGTAAAAATTTATTTAAAAAGCTGGCAGCCTTTCATTCTGACTGTTCAGATTGAGCCAATTTTAGCTGGAACTCTTGAAACCAATTTTAAAACACAATACTCTGAAAAACCCAATATAGGTGAGGAGGACTTTATTTTGAAATTGGTTTATTGTCCTGAGGACAATGCTGGAGAAAGATTGTTGCCTTGTGCTCCCTCTGCTGGTTTTCCAGCAATATTGCAAAGCACTGGTCTCCCCTACAAGTACATTGTCATCATCATCTTTTCACTATATATTCTGCTAACAATTATTATCACATCATATAAAGGAAGTGATTCAGGTTTCAAAGTGAGGAACTCAAAATTAAAGGAAAGTAAGGTGACTAACCAACTCTAATTTATTCCCCGGTACATCCACATTCTCTACACTGAATGAGGTAAGGAGTCAGAGGGGAGTGGGGGAAGAAGGGAAGGGGAGAGGGAAGGGAAACACCAGCACTGTAATTATGCAATTAAAGATCATATAAAGTCATAAGATGACTGGATGAAGCTGCAAAAGAAACCATAAAATCTGACATTTCCTAATGACCAAATACTTGACTCTGCATCCTAAATAAGTTGTCTTTTTAAAGAGACTTTGGTATGGCTTTTTTATGGCCTTTTCTTTTCTTTTTGATTTTTTTTTTTTTTGTTGGGGGGGGGGGGGGGGGTTCCCTTTACAACGAAAAACTTTAAAATAGTCTGTTTTGAACAGCCCTTCCATGGGCTGTTACAACTTACTGCCAGCTTTCTTGCCCTCCACAACCCTCTACATAGAGTATGATCCAGCTCCCATCTTCCAGATTTCAGGTGTGGCCTCTGATCACTCTTCATTCCTTCACTTGCTTTCCCCTCCATGACAATACTATCACTGAGGCCTCCCAACCTCCACTGTTCATCTTTTTAATGCCCATTTTGTCTGTTCATGTAAAAAAAAAAATAAAAGGATTCTACATTATGTAATAAGGCTCTAGTTGGAAAGAACCAAATTCTACATTATGTAATAAGGCTCTAGTTGGAAGGAGCCAACCCCCATCAGCCATAAATTGAATACTGTCTTGCAAACAACACATACTATGGGAACAGATTAGCCTTGTAGACTTCTGTTTGGCATTTCTGTCAGCATAATTTATAGTTTCACCAGATTAAGAATGGCTCTGAATACATTAAAACCAATTTCCCCAACCATTCTATTACTAAATATTACTTTTGCACTGATTTAGTAAACAGCTGCTACAAATTCAATCACCGATAATTTTGAAAGAGTCTAAAAAATCATGACTACACACACACACACACACACACACACACACACACACACACACACACACATTCCCTCCCTTCCTCCTTCCCCAGGTACCTCCCCACTATTTACCAGCTACATTTATTCCCCTGTCTTCCCCTCCTTTCCCCCCAAGCCTGTCTCTCACCCACTGACTCCTCAATTTACATCTTCACTGTCTTGGATGCATACCAGCCCAGCCTCCAACTTCTTTACTATTCATTCCATGTAGGAAGAGCACACACCAACTGCAGATGCTTCCTCAGCCTGACGAATGGTATTTGTACCTAAAAGCTTGCAAAGAAGATTTTTTCCAACTATTTGAATTGGTTTAATAAAAGATATCAGATTTACCCAAAGAACCTTGTCTGCCTATGTCCTTAGACCAATATGGCTACAACTTATACTCCTATGACTACATACAAGCATTATAAAACTCCCCACACCCAAAAAACCCATCTGAAAAAAAAATCTTTCAGCTAAACTAAGCAAGCAAAGAACATTTTCAAATATTAATTTTGAGTAATGAAAGCTTAATTTCAGATTGTCTCTCCAGTCCCTGTAGCAGAGGAACTGTTTAAATAGTGAAGTAAAACTAACAAACAGAGAGAGGTAGTTAGCCTAGTTAGTTTGAAGTCAGGCAGAAGGCAGGGTATATTTGCATCTTATAGGCTAACTAAAACAGACATATGGCATAACCGTTCATAAACAGAGGGCAAATCTATCCTGCCTTCTGTAAAACTAATGGCCATTGTTAAGAGTGTAAGTTAATTTTATGTAATACAGACATTTTAAAATTCCAAACACGAGTTTCTAAAGAAACATAAATACCATTAAGACTCATGTCCCCAGTAATATCCACATCCGATCCCTCATGAAGCCATAAGTAATACCACCTAGCTGGTCAAGTTCAGCCCTTTCAGAAGGCCTCAAGCACACATTTGACTCATCTTCTGAGTCTAGTTACATTTGTGAGTGCTCCAACTGAGTCGGAAAACTGGTGGTGCAACATCAAAAATGTTAAGCTGTCAGTACAGTTATGCTATACAAAGGGCTTGGGCAGCATGCAACAGAGCATAAGGATGTTTCCCTTCAGCAACTGAATGCTATGCATAGGGTATAAATAAAAGCTAAGTATAAAGCAGACTCCTGGCACACTGAACGGACTGAAGCCTCAAGCACCCTGTGTACTGAGTGAAAGTGGGATAGAATACAAGTGGTAAATGGTCAAAAGCCTCAAAGATGTAGTAGGTAAGTGAGGCACTTAGCAAAGCACTTCACTGTGGTCTTACATCTGTCACCACACACAAAAAATTTAGCAGTTCTTAAATGCAAGACTAGGTTTCCTTGTAAACTATGACTAGCTCATCATTTTTATAATACAAATGCACTTTGTTAGTACTGTACATGATCAAACCTTGAGAGTTAAAACAAGTCTCGTGAGGTTGCAAGCTCCAACAGAACTATGGTGACTCCACAGCATCCTAATAGTTTCCTGTAACTCAAATGCAGAGAACAGGACATTCCTAGCCAAGTCAGAGCTGTGTTCTTCAGAAAGGCTGTTACAACAAAAATTGTATGAGCTTGCACTGCCTGACAGCCATAACAATTTGGACAGGTTGGAAAAATGGGCAGAATGAAATAGGATGCGGTTCTACAAAGACAAGTGCTGCACCTGGGCCAAAAGAACCACCACCAGACGTACAGGCTGGGGGATGACCATCTCAGCAGCAGAAAGGGATCTTGGAGTCACAGTAGACTCTGAGATGAACATGAGTCATCAATGTGACAAAGCGATCAACAAGGCTAACTGCACTTTATCATCCATTAGCAGATGCATGACAAACAGGTCCAGGGAGGTGATGCTTCCCCTCTATGCAGCACTGGTCAGGCTGCAGTTGGAGTACTGTGTCCAGTCTTGGACTCCATACTTCAAAAGGGATGCAGAGAATCCTGATGGGGTTCAGAGGAGGGCCACTCGTATGGTCAGAGGCCTGCAGGCAAGGCCCTACGAGGAGAGACTGAGGGAACTAGATCTCTTCAGCCTTCACAGGAGAAGGCTGAGAGGTGATCTTGTGGCTGCCTATAAATTAATCAGGGGAGGGCAGCAGAGAATAGGAGAAGATCTATTTACTAGGGCACTCCCTGGAGTAACTAGGAACAATGGCCACAAATTGACAGAAAGCAGATTTAGGTTGGACATTAGAAAGAACTTCTTCACAGTAAGGGTTGCCAGAATCTGGAATGGGCTTCCAAGGGAGGTGGTGCTCTCCCCTATCCTAGGGGTCTTTAAGGGGAGACTGGACAAGCACCTACCTGGGGTTGTCTGACCCCAGCGCTCTTTTCTGCCCAGGGTAGGGGGTCAGACTCAGTGACCTACTGAAGTCCCTTCTGACCCCAACATCTATGAATCTATGAACTCATATTGCCCCAATAGAAGACTCAGTAAAATCTTTGCCCCATTATCCACATAGCTTCTCATTAAGTTACATAAATATTAAAAGCCTGATTAAACAAAAAAGCACCCCTCTCCCACCTATCATTCCTTGACAACTGCAACACTATAGAATAGACATAATAAGCAAGCAAAAAGGGGACAGGGTAAAAAAAAAAAAAATGTTTTTTTAAAGCTCCACCCACAAATTTCCAGAAAGAATTTGGGTTCCTTGTTAGCTGGGCTCAGATCACCCCACTGGGCTTCTTGGCCATGTTCCTTCTTGGGGTAGTGGGAGAATAAGCATCGGCACCTCCCTCAAACTCCACCAACTCTAGGTACCAAAAAGGATGCATCAATAGAATATATTGGTATATAGTACATGTACAAAATAGTTCACATCTTGGTTCACTGAGCATCCTCTTTCTCCATCCGCACTTCCCAGCACAACCATGACAGCAACAAGGAAAGATGGCAGCTTGGGAAAAGTACTGATACACTTTACTATTGTATGCAAGCTTAATCTATAACACTTCATTAAATAAATTAACGGGTCCACACTCAACACATTTTAAGAATCCAATTCTTACTTTAAATCTGCATCTCCATCCTATTTAGGCCAGGTAGTACACTTAAAACATCCTTTTTTTCTAAGCTACCACATTCTCTATACTTTTCAAAGCTCTATACTTGCTCATAAGCTACCAAACAGTAGAGATGATCATTTCTCCAATCACTCCAGGCTTGAGATTTTATCTTTTGGTACCTTACACTCACAACCAGGTCATCAACCTCGCCATCCTATAAAAGCCACAGCACTTTAGACAAGAGGTCTGGTTCTGTTGGGCAGTTTATTCTATTGGATGAGTAAACAGATTATCAACCAAAGCCCACCCTCCATGTTCAAGTGAGAACCTCCCTATGGCCTACACAGCATACATATACAATTGGTTATTAGCACATACACTCTTAACAGACTAAAGAGAACCCTTAATCAGATATGAAAAGGAAAGGGACACACAGGAGGTAGGGAACTTACGGGTTTGATAATCTTTTCCACCACAGAGT